AAAAATTCAAAGGCCTAGGCGGTTAATTCAATTTTACTTTCCGCAGGCTGAAGACGCTTGGAAGCGAAACTAAAAGTCAATAATTAAATCGATAATGAACCTTTATGAATGGGTTCGGCTGTTTTGTAAAACTTCAATGAAAAGTGATAGTTTTATGATTCAATGCTTTGGGTGTATCAACAAATTTACTTTTTGATACTTAATGTATTGAACTATATTCATCATTTGAGTCGTTTACATCTTTTGCTGTACGATTCAACGATATAACCACCCTTTTTAAAAAATCAGAGAAATCTTAATCTATAGAACGAAACAGCAGAAACACATTGAAAATTCTGAGATTCCTATGATTTTGACAATTTTTAGAAAATTGTCCAAAAATTATAATCGAAATAAGTGAAAAATCCCGTGGTTAACTTTTTCCAGAACCATCGTGTTGCTATATTGAATGAAACGATCCGTGTTCAACTATAATTAGATCTGCGAACGATACTTTCAATCAATTTTGCAATATTGCAGGTCATGTTACTCGCGTCGAATATTTTCGTTTTAGCCGATTATGTAACTGTTTTCCGGCAGTTTTTCTTCGGTCGGGACTACTTTGCACGCGGCGTGTTGCCGGTGCGCGATCAGTCTCCCGGCGTTCGTTGCTATATAACTCGAAAGAAATCGTGAACGGCACGATCCGTTCGAGCGAGGAGAATTCTTATTTGCCACGGTCAATTAGCGAAATCCAGATAACGCCGGCCCAGAAAGGAAGCGGCGATTATAGAACGGAATCGCGAGACGCGGGAAGTTACGACAGGGCACAGTGAAAAAGCTATCGTAAAACGAATCCGACGTTGTAAAATAAAACCGTGCAGGTGCAAGTTTTTCCGCCGCGGCTTTTCGATTTCTTGCGGGCACGTGGGTGAGTGATTTCGTCATCGGCGGAAAATAAAGGCCTTGGCGTGAAAAACTGACAATGGCAACATTTTGTTTTTCTTACGCTAATTTACCGTAATTAGTGGTTCTCCGACGCAAAGCGGTGTGTTACAATGGATTATCTGTGCATTCTATCACGCTCCTTACTGAACCTTCATTGAAACAATAAGTTTCGCACAGATTATTTAGTATTTTAGCTTTAGAATTAATTGTTTCCATGAAAATCACAGTGCTTTTTGTTTCTATTTAAATGTTACTAAAATAGTATTTTTAATTAATTGGCTCAGCAATACTGAGATGATCGTTTTATTTACAAATATATTGTTTATGTTATCTTCAAATAATATTCTTTACGTGGAGAAACCTACAGACCCGCAGACTGGAATAAATCACCCGCGTCATTGAAACAGAAATTCATTGTTTAGTCTGAAAGTTATGTAAAGTATACCGTGTAAAGTATACAGTACGATGGATATTACAAGCATGCAAAGTTTTGAACCAGCTTTCAAAAATAACCTATAGAAGTTCCGATGAAACGTTTGTTACGAGCTATGCATCCGTTCGTATGCAGTATCGTATTCAATACTGTATACGATACTGTATGCGGTACCACTAATCATTGTCAGTATTTAGTTCATTGTGTGTTCTACCGCTGGAAAATATTTCATTCCCAGCTCGTGCACTCCATTATCTGGTACTCGCGAATATTGCAGAAAATTACTATTACTTGCTACTTCATGCAATAAAATAAAAAATTGTAAAGAAAATAAACTTCAAATAAATTCGTTTTATTTGATGTATTGTATTAAACATTAATTTCCAAGTGTTAAGCAAGGAAGATTGTAAAAAGGAAAGTGAAGGAAAAGTGAAACAACATTTCCAACCCAATACTTTCAATATTGAAAGAATCCTTGGAATGTAACAATTCCTGTACGATTAAAATGACGAAGCACTGCTACCAAACAAGGATTTATGAACGTTAGCGGTACCCACGTGTACCCACCCGGTGAGAGCATCATCGGAATGAAATGTTTATGCCCTCCAGGAATTCGCATTCTTTATCGCGCAGCCGAAACTGCGTATTAGAATCGACGGTGTAGCTTTCAGCGCCAAATTCGTATAATTATTGGACAAACGATGATCCAAACATCCCGAAAATATATTTTACGTGGAAGGCCTCGGGAACAGTCCGTAAACACGTTCCCATTCACGAGATCCATGAAAACGAAATTCTACGTTGTCGTTGGAGAAACCAGTTCGCGCATACATACATATGTAAGTATGTATATTCGATGGAGGCGCCCACATCCTTTCTTGCGATTCCGTTTGGGCGCTCGTACGCGCGGATTGCTTTCGTTGGCCTACCCGTGGAATTTATTACAAATTACCTTACGAGCGGTTCGACATGCTTAGGATTTTTACCAGGAAACGTGTCCCCGGGCTTGCTTTCTCTGCGGACGAGAGAACCTGCGGGACGTCGAGCACATTTCTTTCTTTCTAATTCATTTATTACATTCGATATCGAATCAGTTTGACAGCTAACGACAAGCGGAACTGTTATTTTTAAGTAGATCTACCGGATAGATCAAAATTCCTGGCTTCCTTTTATACATTTATTGAGAAGGTACTCAATGCTTCTCTGGGAAGTTACTCAGGAAATTGATTGAGTAAGGCGCTGATTGAATTACAGATGATTCGAGGTTTCAGTGGGTACGTTCTTAGAATTTTCAGAAGGAAATTAAATAAAATCTATTCGATTGCTTGGTAGTTTTAGTGGTAATATAAGGATACGTTGCATTTAATTATTCTACTATTCGCACGGATAGCAGGTGACATTTACAACGGTAGAGTAGAAAAGATTTATTTTTACATTTAGTATTGCAATAAGTTCGTTTAGTATTGCATTTAGTATAATATAAGCGAAGAAAATAGTAATATGAAGGAAAATCTTGCTATGAATCAAATTTACTTTTTCGTATTCCATTTTGTAACGAAACAGAAATATTTATTGCTGCATTAACATAAGTGTTTAAGTAGTAACTATTTCATTCTAATATGTTCATTATTACCAGAAATCTTTAATAAATAGGTATACCTACCCGTATAGATTTGATAGGGGTATGAACATTTATGCAGTTGGTATCACTAACACGGAGCGTACTTCCAGGCGATGATTCATGGAAACATCACGAATGAATTAATGAGCTTTCCCGGTAAGTTCGTTAATAGCTCGAGCTGCGTTTTCCGTGGTTACGATGAATAGAGACAATTTCAAAGGTCGTTTGAAAATTAATTGTGGCCGCGTAAACATTCGCGCAGATTGTGAGGCATGTTGTAATGAACGGGTCAAACGGTGTTTACTTCCGCGGATGATGTTCATTAAAGTCATATTAAAATTGATGCGCGCAACTTAATAAAACCATCGGCAAAGAAGGGAGAAAAAAAGAAACTCTTAATAGTACACTCAGGGACGTTTAATAACCCGATGGAAATTAGTTCGTCCGAAATTATCCGAAACAACGAACCAGAAGTCTACTGTTTACTTTGCAACCCTTGCTTTATACCATATAATTACGGTGTGATCGCCAATTCGCGAGCTTCTCGGAATTCGTTTCAATGTGGAAACTGTTGCTCTTCGTTTCGTGGATTTATCGAGCCAATAAAATCAATCAAATAACAGGGTAACCAGGGCGATTTCAATTACAAGGATTGAAATAACAGGCATCGAAGTTCGTTACGCGTAAGAGTTATTATATATTAGTGTACGTACAAAGAATCTCTCGAATGATTACAATGTTATCGAATTTCTTCGCGACTGTTCGTCTATTGAGATCACTGGGCCGCGGATTTTTATGCATTTATAGTAAATTTGAAAATGGGAAATCGAACGGAATAGATTCGAAACGAAAGCATTTGTAAAATATTCATTTCACAACTCTTTTTCGTTACGAAAAACCATTTTGTAATTCTATTTTTCTAATCGTATTCATAATAATCTGAATTTTTCGAAACTTGTTACCCGCTCGTTGACGATTATAACGCTTCCTCGTGAATTTGACTTCTCCTCGAACGAGGATATCTTCACGGGATTCCGATTTCACCGAAAACCACGTGGGCGATTGATCGATTCCCAGATCGGAAGATCTATTCATTAGAGGAGTGTGCTCATACATAGTAGAAAGGGGCTTGCCACGTGAAAGACCACTTCTGAATTGCGTAGTACGGATTGTAAATTATAGGCGAGGAACGCGTGGGAGATTTTCGTTTCAGGACCGGTTTCGACTAGTAATTAATTTTCACACTCCACTTCTAATTGACAGTGGCTACCGGGGAACTTCTGGCGCCGAAAACGTTTCGTGATTTTCATTAGTTAAACCGAGATAATTGAAGGAATACGCGCAATCTCTAGAACCGGATAAAACAAGAAGCGTTACGTCGCTCTGAGCACAAACCAGTTTATCATGATATTTTTCAGTCGAATCTATCGAGGAAGATATATTCAAGAGAATATATATCTTTAGGTTTAGAAACGCCTCATCCTGTCTTGCAAAGCAAGTTTTAGAATTTCTTCTTGCGTCACATTCGAATTTATATATTGAAATCCAAATGTTATAAGACTGTTACATGCTAAACACATATAAAATTGCATACAATTATTATTAACGGAATGAATAGTAAATATACACTAAGAAACAGGAATAAGATATAATTTTAAGTAAAAATTTACACGTTTCCCTTTATTAAATTTCACTTTCAGGCTATAAATCACAAGTTCTTTCATTTGAATTATTAAACGAACCTACGTTCGCATTGAAAAAGTATCCAAAATATCGAGTCAGACAGTGTTTCTATACGCCAGAATCAATGAACCGAACAAGAAGAAGCTCATTTGACGTTAGATTACGCAAGACTAATTACATTATCCGCTACGTATGGTGTTTGCATAGAGTTCGTCCGGTTTAGCGGGGTTTCATCATCATGGGATGCAACTTAACACATTCCTCCTCATTATCTAATTTGTCGATCGTTCGGGTATATTGGGGCTCACGTGTCCCGAGCCCTGTTTCGTCAGCGAACGCCTGCTCGGCACAGCAGAAGAGCTGGAGAACACGCGCGGTAACCCTACACGTGATGACCATCGGCGGCTTCGCCGAAGATCCGGGGAAGGTAAGTCATTCGTCCGCCGTTACGCAAACATTTTCTTTTCATCGCGCTGATCGGCAGCGCAGTGAAATCGCACTTGCAAAAGCAACTTCGCTAGCACCGGTGTACCGCTAATGTTCCTCCATTCCTTTCTTTCGTTACCGTTACTCAATTGATCGCCGCGTCCAGAATGACAACGACGCGCCACCTTAGAAATGAATCTTTAACATTAACCGTGCTGGCAGTTTGCATATACTATCGTGATCAGTCAAATAACTGGCCACATAATAAAAGTGAACAGGTTCGATGATAAATTTGAATTCTTAGTGGAAATAGGAATAGAAACAAAAGACATAAATTGAAAAACTGAGTAATCGGGCAACATAGGAATTGATGTGAAGTTAACTGAACGAAAACGGGCGCAGAATTTTTAAATATATTTAAAAACCGGTCATCCGACTGGTTATGTCTTGGTTAGTGTTAATTTATTCGCACAGAATAACGTGTTAGACTCGTGGTATATTTTTGTATTCTGTCGTGGTGTATTAATTAATATTTATAGGTTATTTCTTTCTCATTTTTCTTCTGTAATAGCGTATCATCTAGTCGACGGCTAAATACTTTTTGTATTGTTTATACGTCGCGTTGGCTAAGCCAGTAATTAGCGATATTTTTCTCTGACGGTGACTCTTATGGCGCGTGTAAACATATTTGAGATCGCTGGAAACGAATTCGATTCACTTGCGATAGTAATGAAATAAAATGAGAGTGTACACAGTGTTATAAGTCGTTATCAGCAAAGTGTCGCAAGATTCTTGATAATGGTGTATCTACAACTTAATGCATTCGGGTTGTATAATTTCACGATTATTGGAAAGGTACAAAGGATTTTTTGAAGCGTTATCCAATAAACTGATTTAGATGTATCTAAATTAGAATAAAAGCAAATCGATATCTTAATATATGTATTTTTGCAGATTTTATAAGAAAATACGAAGTAGTCAATTTTACTGATTAGTAGGTCTAGTATTAAAAGTGAACTATGTTGGATTGTGCTGAATTTCAATGAAATACTTATTGTTAAAATCGGCAAAATAAGAAATTCTCTTTTAAGCCGATGAGTAAGTGAACTGAAAAACCAAGTGAAAATAACATGTGTTGAAAAGATGACAATCGTAAAATAACGTGTCAAATTCTCAACGGTATCACCTGCGTAATTAGAGGTAATATTAATTTCGATAGTACGTAGCCCAGCTTTTGTTCCCTGCTAACTTGAGAGTTCAGACATTTTCCAGGTGCCTTTACACTGATACTACACAATCATTAATTTCTAACGAAAATACTACCAGGAAATGTTTCTGATTGTACCTCCATTCAAATAATGTTCCGTACAGAAACATATGTTTCGCATTTCCGAGTTTTTCCTTGGCACGTAAAGCAACACAATTTACAGGGTTGTCTACAGAAAGATAGAAAATATTCTGTCATTCGTCGTAGTACCTTTTTGCCTCGCCAAAGGATTTCGCAATATCACTGAAACCTTCCACTCCCTTTTTTTTCTGTTCAGTGGTGCAATAAAGAGCAAATGCTCGAATAAATAAAAGCACGGCTAATTGCAAGCACCGGGATGCTAGTTCATCTTTCAACCCTTCGTTATTTGTCGCGGGCACTGATTAAAATTGCACACGACTATGCAGCTGGTCTGTATGGTGCATTACCGAAGCTTCCATTCAGACTTTTCGCCGAGTCATTAATTAAATACAACGTCTAATTGGATAACTGAGAAGTGATGATAGCGATCCACTTTTCGTACGATATTGTATTCCTTCTTATTTAGTGGTTCCATGTACTACTTGGAAAATGAAAAAGTCAACGTAGATGATACAACGATCGAACAGTTTTAAATACTTTGGGAATAACTGCATCATCATTCGAGAATAATTGAGTAGATAAATGGTTTAATACATTTAAACATTAGCTCTGAGAAGCATAAGCAAGCTAGGATCGTCCACCAGTATAATCACTTAATTAATCTTCTTTTTTATAAATTACTAACCGAATTCGTTCGCTTTCGTTGACATATCATTCGACTGTACCCTATATAATTCTCAGTTCTATAAATCACTTTCTTGTCTTGTAATGTACCACACTTAACTGTAAAACAGTTGTAATTTATATTTTCGGTTTCTTCTTATATCTTCAATCACCTAAGGTGTAATAACATCCGTTTTGCTGCATCCTGCACGAGTGTATTATAGTTCGTTGGAACCCATTCGAATCTGTTCGTGAAATCGTAACTACTCTTATGTTCTCCCTTCGACTTCCTTCTTTTTCTTCACTTTATCTGCATTCTCAATCCACTTATCCTTTTATGGTTGCTTATCTTTTTCTCTCATTTCGTACTCTTCAACTTCACTCAACTTTGTAATCATACTACGTTTACCGTACCGGATCTTGTTTTCTTGCGTCGCAACTACCTTATTTCCTTCTTCCAATTCTATTATATCATCATCTTATTTTCTTCCTTTCGATTTCACCCCTTTCCTGATGATGTACCGTAGCGATATTTTTTTCTCCATTTTCTCCCGTTTTCTTTCATGATTACAGTTCCATTGCTACTTTTTAAATTTTCCAGGCTTGCTATTCGTTCTTATTGATTCTTCTGCGTTTACTTTCTTTCTCTTCTAAGAAGTAGGGGTTTCTTTCATCTACCTTTTAAATTTCAATTTCTTCTTCTTCTCCTTTATTTATTCCTCTTTCGTCTATTAATCAGACGTAAGAATTACAATCTCATGAAACCAGTATCGCTAGTAAAACTTCAGAAAGTATCTTTATAGATTTGCGTCTCTATAAATAAGATATTTTCACAAAGAAAAAATATTTTCCGTAAATTACAAAATATAAAATTACACGATGAAACAGTGATTGGAAAGAATGATTGAGCTTAAGGTGTTTATTAAAATATCCTCGACTACTCTTATTATTATTTTTATTCACTAAAAAATTAAATGTCCTAAGACTTTCTAATACTAATATATTCAGCAATATTTCATGTTTCGTCACAACCGCAGTTAATCATTCGATTTTCTTCTCCGACGTTACGTCCAACCCTTTTCTTCGAACCACCGCTTTCGCGTGCATTCACCGGAAATTCGAAACTCGGCTTGAATTCCATCGCGACGGTGAGGTCTCTGTGACCTTGAAGCATCACAGGCTTCCCTTTGGATACTTTGATACGATACACGGTAACCAGCAAATCTAATCAATGCGTTTTTACCTGGAACGAAGTACTACCTAGCGCGCTGTTCCCAGAACTAAGAGGTGCGCTCTAGATAGCAGGGTACACACTCGTTATCGTTAATCCGCTGATATACGAGGTATGGTGTAACAAGTACGTCGAACTTCCTAATTAACTTGAACAGTGAAAAATAATGAAGAAAGTAAATGTAAACATGAGATGAGTCAGCTATAGGGTTTCAACGAGTTTTATGCTATAGAAATGTGTCTAACGAACTCTGATACTGGGATCACACAGATAGCCAATTTTTTCTACAAACAAAATACAATTCTTTATTTTTTAAGATAATAACTGGAAACAAGTTATATAAGTAACTAATTATTATTTCGTATTATACATTTTAAAATAGTTGTATTCAATGCATTGCTGACAATTGATAATTGAAAACACAAATATAGAATTTCTAAAGAAGAAAGGTGAACTGCAACTGAATGCATGGTAATTTCAGCTAAGTAAACGAATAGGATATAGGTACGATAAGTAACGTTGATAAATAGTTTGATAATGTAAAGTTTCAAGTATTAATATCATGCAAATAATGAAAAAATTAGTCATTTTTATTTAATTTTCATGTAAAATTTGGAGCAGAAATTACGTGGCAAGAGATTTTAATTTGCCTGGGTTAAAAATTGAAATTATGCAAGCTCGATTTGACATTCAATTATAAATGATACGTAACTTTATATATGCTACCAACGTGAATGAATATAATGTAACCATTCTCTTGAGTATTTATAATATTCTGCAATTTGAAGTTTCTTCGTCCTCTGGTTTCAAACTAAAAACAAACATTTAATATTGAAAATGGTTTCTAAGATTTAACAACGTCAACTTCATCTGTTGGGACAGCTTAATGTTATAGAAGTTTATCTGATCGCGGTCTAATTCATCGTTTGTTTGGGTATTTTGCAGAATGACTTGCACCGAGCCGTACTTCATCAGCGAAGGCCAATATGCCCTAGTGGACGAGCTGGAGAATGCGCGGGAGATAACCTTACATGTCATAACTATTGGCACCTTTATCGAAGATCCGAGCAAGGTAAGTCACTCGTCCGCCATTACGCAAACATTTTCTTTTCATCGTACCGATGCACGACGAAATGAAATCGCACCTGCGAACGCAACTACCGCTAATGCTCCACCATTCCATCCTTTCGTTACCGTTACACAATTGATCAGCGCGCTAAGAATTACAACAATGCGTCACGTTAAAAACGAATTTATTAAACTATAACTTTGCATCGTGAACGCAAGTCATTTTCCGTGATATTTTAATCTTGCTTAACTTCTACGGAGTATGTGTTTTTATTAAAATATTGACACATTACGTCTATAATTAACACTTAGTATAGATTGATAATTTAGCTAACAGATACTCTTAGTCATACGTGAATATGCAATTTACAGTCCATTTAAGGCTGATTCATTTTTATTCGAATTACTTTTGCATTAAATTATCGGAAGTGCTTCAAAATCCGTTTTTTATTAGAATATTATAACTAACTTTCTCGTATATTTGGACTATTCTTATGACCTTTTTAATTATTCCTTTTTTAGAATAATTTGGTGTACATTGAACACTAATTCATATCAAATTGCATAATACACGTATAAATAATACTATATTATGTAATATTATCAAGTCTAACGTAAAGTGAGATATAAATATTAATTCCCTTAGCACTAGAAGAGCCACACAGTTAAAGTGATTTGTTTCTAATTATCCATAAAACTTGTATTCTTCTAATTCTTTTTATGTTTGAAGTGACTTTCACACAAACATATAAATTTATTTCTTGATTTCGCACAAAAGCACCTTAATGATTTCAATAACTGTCAAATAAAAAATATTAAACAGAACATTTTATCCCGCCTGAAAGTTCTAGTGTTAAAAAAGAAGTACCATTTAAATACGTGCATTATACTGTATTATTCTCAATTTTTGTTGAGCATACAATTACGGATTCCACAGATATACGATGTAGTTCAGTTTACTGGTTTCCTGAGAAAAGACTGAACATTTTTTATCGCTGTTGAATATCAAAACATTTTACCCTGTCAAAGCAGTTCGTAGTGTAGCCGATGCTCCCCACTTTCTACGTTTCTTTCAGTGACGCAATAAGATGCAGATAGAGGAATAAATAAAAACATGGCTAATTGCAAGTGCACGGAAGCCAGTTCATCTGTCGACCCTTCGTTATCTGTCGTGAGCGCCGATTAAAATTACATACGGCTATGCAGATCCGTTCGTAGCTCTCACACGTTGCTGGGGCTATCATTCAGCCCTCTCGTTGGATCGTTAATTAAATGCAACGGCTAATTAGATAACTGATAAAAGGTTATGGCGGCCCGCGAGTCGCACGATGTACTTTCGGCTCGCTCTTACATAGTGATGGGTCAGTGCTCTGTTTGAGCGCGTTCGGCTATGCTTGCTATTCCAAAAAAGGGAAAATCTATAGACAAAATGTACGATTATTAAGTACTTATAAGTATTTATTACAATTTGATATAGTTACTGATTACCATTTCTTAATTCAAAAGTTTAACATCTTCGCTACCAGCGTCACATCAGCACAATAACTATAATTTCATATTTCCTTCGAACAATATATTACCAATTAATAAGTGCTAATTAATAACTAATAACAACGTTTTCATTTAAAAGCGTAATGCATATCGATTTTGTTTCGGTTTCTTCATATATTTATTATAGCATTCGAGTAGAACTATTCATGTTCTAAATCATTTCGGATATTTAAGACTTTTGAGATATAAAGAATTACGAAATAAGAAGATTGAAACTCATCATTTTGATGAGTGTGTGTAGTTCTAGTGTTAATACTTCAGGAAATGAATATGTTTTTCTTAATTTAAATTTATAATCGTGAGTACCGTTATCGAAATAAATGGCAGTAACGAACATATTAGTTTCAACCACATTGAAAATCGAAGAATGGTTCATGAAATAAGTGATTAAGTGTGACTTAAATAACAAATAACCGGGTAATGATTAATTATTGATTCGTTATTATCATTGGAATAAAGCCCGATATTGCCTCGAATGATGCATCACCGTGAACGCGACATCCTTTATTTTCTGCGGTTCTTAACATTTCGAACAATTTCCCCTGTGAATAATGAGATTTGCCGATTCTCGGCGGTCTAGCGAGAATATTTTTCGTGAAAGTGCTTCTTCCCCGTTTGCCCGACTTGCGATTAACGAGTCAAGAAACTGGTTCGCAACCCGCTTCGCACACCTCATTACCTAGCCAAGGGGATCGAGTATTTTATTTATGTGTCTATAGCCGGCGATAGTTATTATAATTGCTTGTCCCTTCCACATGATTTATGAGTGCCCTGCTAAACGTTAGCTATTTAACAGCTAATTCTATTCCTGATTGCTACTGTATCCGTTTTCACGTGGGCGTCACGAATTTTCCTCGACTAACCGCAGAATTGGAGAAAAATCCATTTTTTAAACTGTTCACCAACTTGAACCACTGCTTCGCCATTTTCTTTATTGTTGTTCTTATACAAGAATCACTCTTGATTCTCTTTAAACTATGAGGAATGTGGTATAATTATGAATATCGCCGAGAAACCTTAAATGTCGACACTAGACGGATTCCTCTTAGCCTTTCAATGTAGTTTTGATTAAGGTTCTTGATCCTGTATTAATTAAAAAGATGCTTAAACGTTTGAAAACATTATCATTAGTTACATTACTTTAAAATCAATCGCTTAATATTAATTCGATGGGCAATAAGAAGCAAAATTCCAGAATTCAGAGTGTACAATGGACACCAAAGATTCACGACTTCAAGGCTACTGAAAAAAGAGATATCCATTATAGACACTTGTGACACAAAATTTTGGACTTTCTCAATAAGATTAAAACGATGCAACAGCAACATGATTGCGTCGAATTCAAGAACGATTTAATCACTAAGAAATTGAATATACGGTTGTTCATGAATAATAATTCCCATGGAGTTAACTACAATGAAAAGTAATGAAAACTTCCTTTTTCAGTTATTTTCGTATAAGCCTTTTGATACTCTTAATTCTAATTTTATATTAACACGTTCATATTCGCGACCAGCATTGCTTATTTGTAACGCTCAAGTATTTCGTGTCTTGCATAAAGAGAACCAAATTACTTTCACGTGTGTTGTATTTAAAAACGTAACGCATGGCGTAAAGCGTAGGAAGCTGACGCGATTTTTCCCTTGAATTTCAATTTATCAAGTCGATCTGTTACATTCAATAAAATATTGCAACCATGAAGATCTCTGCTGTAACAAACGCCGGCCGCAAACGTGTTAAACAACCCTGCTTCTGTATCTTGCTCGAAAAGCAGATCGAACCGACAGCTCTTGCCCTTTTCATAAATTATACAGCCAGCGTTAATAGAGGATTTCCCGTTCGAGCGTCTTTTTACACAAGACTGGTCTACCCGACGAGATTAACTATTACAAGTCAGTTCTGCAGCAGATGAAAGATTGATTGACCGCATACCGTGGAACGTTTCAACGCGACTCGGTGAACAGGCTCCGGGACACCGTCTAACAAGCGCACTACCGAACGCGGGGGGAAGCTACACCGAGAATAATATTATAATTACAGCGACTGATGCGGCAATAATTCCGCTGATTTCGCGTTTGAAGCTAATAGAACTCTATGGCGGTGTCAAAATAGGGGGAACCGGTTTCTGTTCACGTCCGAAGGCACCGGTTGAAGGTTTCAACTGAGAAACGTCTGTTACCACCGATGACGTGGAAAACAGACGTACCACTGCGCGTAGCTTACAGTTAAATTGCAGCAGGTGTTTGTAATACTCGGCCGATTCGACGCTGGCAAAACACGGATGCATGTCGCGGACCGAGCGAATGATTGCTGACGGGACCATCGCTATTGCTAAAGCTAACGGAGCGAAAAAAGAGAATGGTTTGTCAGTTACAAAATTATTCTTACCCCCTTTGCCACGGTTTTTTCCTTGACCGACACGATACGATCTTATTAATTTAATTTTATATCTACTGGCGATGGGTTTATCGTCCGCAGGAATTCAATCCGCTCTAGCGATAGTGCTCGCTACCGCTTCTGCACTAGGTGTTCCGCATTCGGTGTGCGCACGTCATCGGAGACTACTATGGACAGTTTTTATATGGTTATTGAAGGGAGCTACAAGAGGAATAAACAGTGCAGTGTGATCTCGCTGGAGATGGCACTCTTGTGATATGTATATAATTCTTATAAACGTTTACCGAATTTCTATGCCAGCGTTCCTCAAACTGTGGTATATGTACCACTAATGGTACATTGCGTTAATTTCGGTGGTACCATTTTTACACAAAATACTTTGAACATTGTTGTTGAAAAATATTATCTATTTGAAAGTAACTTGGACCTGATTTACAATTCAAATTAATGGATATAAAGGTTGATACATCGAAATTGGTTACAGTGAAACAGGCTCATGTTTCATATTAATCCTCAAGAATGAGGATATTTACTATATTTTATTACAAAGTAGAAGTTTCATTTCCGAATATAATTCAGTAACATAAATTTAAAATGTTTCATTTTTGGATTATAAACACTCCATTTGGGGTGTATTGATTTCTCATCGGGAAGTGCTTTTATAGTGGTACAGATATTTTATGATTCTTATTCACATGGTACAAAATTTAAAAAATTTAAAGATTTCTGGCCTAAGCTGACAAATTGCAAAAGAAAATTAGAAATAAAAAAACATTGTCACGGAAAATACTGTTCTGAAAGCTCTATGTTCGTATTATTTTAGAATTTTAACCCTTTGTGATATGATTTCTTTGACAACTGTGCTTGATAGATCTACTTTATCGTTAATGGTTTAGTAGGAAAAGAGCAAAACATGATGCATATTGTGTCTACGTTTACTGTAAAGGTTGAAGAATGATAATGGACATATTATTTCGTTTATATAACAAATAAATAAATAACATTTAGGTTCGTTGAATTCTGAAAACTTTCGTCGCAAATCTGACTCAATATTAT